AACTCGGAGCTGGGGTTTATTAAAACGTTACTATGAGAAATGGATGCTCAAAGCAGAGCTAAATAATTTAGTTCATTTTAACTGTACATGTGCTCAGCTGAGTTCTTTTGTCTGTCTCAGTTTTTATTTGTGGTATAAACCACAAAAGCTGAATCTGAGAATAGTGGCTTTGACTTTAAAGGCAAGGAAGGTGGGATTCCCAAAATTACCTGGACTTGCTCTAATTCTTCTGTGTTTAGTGGGAACACGTGAAGGTGGTGTGAGGGTCACCATGTGAGGGTCTTTGAGCCACTCCAAGCAGTGACATTGAGGTACCTGGAGCTCTGAGCAACATCAAAAGGGGGTAAAAAAAATAACTGCCCTGCAGTGGGATTTTTCTGACATCCTTATCTGCTCAGGATAATCTTCCAGTTTACTTTAGGCCTTAAGACTTTGGTTGGGCTGTGCTGAAAACACGTGAGGCAGGTGATGGAACCACAGCCTTCTCAACAATGTCTGTGCTCTGCCCCAGTAATGTTCAGTAGGTGTTTCATTAAATATTGGGATGTCATGGTTGGTTAATGCAGAAAGAAATGGAGGATACAGGAGGAGAAGCTATTTTTTTTAGGGAAGTAATATTTTTAATTTGTATATAAAGACTTGGAATGAGGACAGACACAGCCAGCTTTCAGGGAGTGGATGTGGAGGAACGTGGATTTGTTTTAGGTGATGATGCAAACACCAAGCCTCATATCTGATCTGGTTTTTAATGGCTGGAGACTGGGGGTCCTGTGCAAAGTCCCAACAGACCATTTTGGCCCTCCCAGGAGCTTCTCTGTTAACCAAAGAGGCATTCACACAAATCCTGAAGCTTGAGGAGAAAAAAGTGTCCTCGTTTCAGCACCGAGTCATGATGTACCTGGCATGTACACGTTCCAAATTGTTTAAGCCTTTTGCCTTTGTGTTTTCCTGAAGGCAAATAGAATTTCCTAATGCCTGGAATCCGATATCTGCGAGGTTTATCAGCCCTTCAAAAACGGAGCAGCACAGAACCGTTTTTCCTTCTTAGATTTCTCCACTGTGGAAGGTTAGAAGGAGCTCAGTTGCTCAATAGTAGGAACGCTGTTCTTGCAAAATGATCAGCTTGAAACATCTGCAGTGTTTGCATCAGGCAGAGCAGCAGCCAAAAGAAATTACGGCATCACTCTGCCTCCAATGGGCAAAATCTTATTTTGTTGCTGCCAGCACGGGTTTGTGACTCTTACATGCCGGTGACCTTGGTCAGTGGTGAGTCTTTCTGGGGTCAAAACCAACTTTTTCTTCCATATTTTAGCCTGGCAGCCTTGTGTTTCCAAGGGCTCCAGTGCAGAGGCAAAATGAAGCTGCTGGGAGCCCATGCTGGAGCAACAATCCTCTGGTAACAGGAGAGTGGCAATTTTTCTGAAGCCACAAGCCAGCCATGAGCGTTTTCAAAGTTTGAAAAAAAATTCGTAGAAACCAGTGAAAAAAATGGAAGATCCCATTTCTCTGGTTATCTATGTTTATATAAATTGTATATAGATTTTTTTTATTTGTTTATAAATACTTAATGGCACAGAATAAGAATTCTGTGATATGAATTCCTGCTTGCTCCTTGTTAAGGCTGTAAATAGCAATTTTTGACCCACAACATGCCACGAGTCGACCCTGTTGTTGTGTATTCCAGATTAATGAGTCCTTTTATGTCATTTAAATAAGCAGTCTGCAAAGATGGCTGAGAGCATTTGTTAGTGGTAAATGATTTAGACAACATTCTTTGTGGAATAGTCCTTTGGAATGCACTTGTGGGTTGGAAATATTCCTGTCGAGAAAGACCAGCGAGAGGAGCAGTTCTAATGGAAGGAGAAAGAAAGGAAATATAATTAGCACTTAATGACTTATTAATGGTTTATAAATATATAAACAAGATCATTAGACTAATATCAACGGTTGCAGGCGGTGAAAGGCAGAGGAAAGCCAGCACTGTGGGTCTGGATTGATGTTCCCACGGCTGCCTTGGAGTGCTCCCAGTATCCCAGGGGACTCCAGGGCTGGGACTGGGGAGCAGGAACTCCTTGAGATGTGTCTCATGGCATGGTGTGTCCTGCAGGGAGCTCTGGTGGCCTTGGGGCAGGGGCAGCGTGGAATTGGGGAATTGTTCAGGTTGGAAAAGCCCTCTGAGCTCGACTCCAGCCGTCCCCCAGCACCAACCCCTGGTCACCGAGAGCCACATCCACGTGGCGTTTAATCCCTCCAGGAATGGTGACTCCACCACTGCCCTGGGCAGCCTGTTCCATGAGAACACAGAGCTCTTTCACCTCCTCCCCTGCACATGATGGATGTGTCCTCATTAAGTTAAAAACATTTAGGCAGTTTCCTGCTCACCTGGGGATTGGCTGCCCAAAATAGAAACACCACTTTTCCTGTTGGTGGTGCTTTGGAGAATTTCTTGGCGCTGAAAATTCCTCCAAGACCAACTAAACAGTCTGAGAAGTAACTGAGTTAATTAAACACCTAAATGATATCCCACTCCTGCAGAAATGCACCTCTTTGGGCATTAAAAATGAGCCCGTGATATTCAGGAGGATAAAATTACTTGGATTTTTAGAGGCTTTGCAGAGCATCAGGTGACCAAGAGAGTGCTGATGTACAGGACAAAAACGTGACCAATTGTGGTGTGTGGGTGGTTTAATGAAGTGTTAAATTTTCCATCTTAGGTAGTTCTTACAGGCTGCATCAGGGGGGTGATGCAGTTGGGAAGACTCAGATTCTCTGAGTCACTGTGGGATGTTTGACCCATCCAACCAGGCAGGGGAGGCATCCAGGATTAACTGGCCACATGTTTCTATCAGATCCTCCCTTTGCTTCCCTCACAACCTGTCCATAAGCAGCACATCCCTGGAGTGGGATGTGAGTGGGCACTGGGGGCCCCTTTCATGGAACTGGAATGGTTTGGGTTAGAAGAGACTGTAAAGACCAACTTTTTCCACACCTTCCACCAGCCCAGGTTGCTCCAACCTGGCCTTGGACAATAGTCTCTCTCCAGGCCCTTGGAAATAGTCTCTCCCCATCTTTCTTGTAGCACCTTCAGGCACTGGAAGGCCCTGAAGGTCTTTAGGGTCATCCCAAAACTTCTCTTCTCCAGGCTGAACAATCCCAATTCCCTCAGCCTTTCCCCAAAGGCTCAGAAGGAAGAATTTGTTCCTTAAAACTAATCTAAAACTCTCACCGAAGGGTTGTTATGCAGTTTTAATTTCCTTGCAGAGTTCAGCCTGGTACTTGGTGCTCCACCTGGTGAGTGCAGAGGTTTTATCATCTTTGTGGCTGTATTTGCTCAGCTCACAGTCTGCTCCCCTGTTTGCCTGATAAACAGTGCAACTGGTGTAAATCCATCTGATCAGACATAAAGAGATCAGAGACAGGAGGGGATGTGAGGAGGGAGTGCCAGAGCTCCAGGAGGGTTTGGTTGATCCTCTGGGGTTGGTCCTGCGCAGGGCTGAGGGTTGAACTGATGATCCCGGTGGGTCCCTCCCAACTCAGCATGTTCTGTGATTCCATGAACCTTTTCTGAGCAGTCTGGTGCATCTGCTGAGTTTGTTATTCCCCTCAGCACACACCAGAAATGCAGATGAACCCAAACCCAAAGGGATTTAAGTCTGGGACTGATGTCTGTTACTTCAGCTCTGCAAAGAGAAATAAAGGCAGACAGCAGGGACATGATTTGGTTCGTGATTAATAGGGGGAATCATTACAGAATAACCATTCCCTGTGTTGCTTCCCTGGATTTAAATGCACCCTCTCCAGCCTAAGCTGCAGTCTGCAAGCCAGGTTGACTTAAACATTTTATTATTGTCATAAATTTAGCAACTAATAACTAGTGGGAAGCGAGCCAGGAGTTGCTCCTGGGGAGGGAAAAAAAAACCCTCTGAGAATTTCCTTTGAATACTGACTTAGGTTCTGATTTTTTTAAAAAAATATATTACCATTAATTCTGGTCATCTGTCTGTATGCAGTAAAATCTAAAGCCTAAGACACGAGAGCAACTTTGGGGATTTTTGGCAATACTCTCAAATTGATCTGGGCATCTTCAGTCACCAGGAACGTGTTGAATGAATTAATGTTCTGTTTGATGAAAATCCTCCTTGCTTACAATGAGGAATTCGAGTGGACAGTGGATATATCCTGGGCAATCAGGCTCCTCATAAGGTCCCACTGCAGAATTAAGGGTGTTCACCACACCTTGGCAGAGGGTTTTAGATCCTGCTCGATGCTGCAGATGTTACAGTGAGATGAATTCACCCATTTTGTCTTCAGGAATAAGCAGGGATCCATCACGTTTCACTGACAAAACTGCCATCTGAGGTAAAATAATAACATTGATTACTGGGCATGGAGAAGAATGAAGGAAAAATTGATTTTTTTAAACATCCCCCGTGTGATTTGGAGAGATTAAAGTTAGATAATTCATAATAAACATAGAAATGGAGAGAATAAATAAGAACCCTCTTTAGGCCAATTACCCAGGCTGCAATAAATTCCAGATGACTCCTTAGCAAAAATATAGTTTATGGAGCTATAATCTATGAGCAAGTGTAGAGGCTGGATAAAAACCCTTCCTACATTTTAGCTGGGCTGGGAGGCTGAATAAAATGGGCATAAAATGGTGCAGCTCATTCTGGGTGCATTTCCATTTAAAAAAATATCTGTGCCCTGAGGAAGGTTTGACTGGATGTGTTGCTGTGGTTATCACACAGAATGTCTGACAGGAGTGTTCCTGTAGCTCAGCCTAATTGCTGGGGTTAACTTTTGCTGGAAATCTGAACTAAAACTACTCTGAATATATCCACAGAAAATACCTTCTTGGGTAAAAAAAAACAAACAACTAAATACAGAAACATAAATACAGCTTTGGGAAATTAGTCTCTTTTTTTTTTTTTCCAATAATTTTCTTTTTTTAATATATATATTTTTTCCCCCAGATTATGAAAGGCAGGGGATGAAAACCATGCTCTAATTCCATTAAGGCTGCAAAATACATCCATTTTGGAAGGAAACTCTCCATCTCCGTGAAGAGCAGGTTGGTTTTCAGCAGCAGCTGGGTCCTGCCATCAGCAAAACTGTTGTCAAAACACTCGAGGAGATCATGGCAGGTGAGTCTGGTCATTTCAAGCCATCACTGAAAGGTCACGGGCTGAGTGTAGAGCTGAAAAAACAACAACAACAAAAAAAATAGCTGGATAGCGAATTTTCTCCTGTGTGTCTCTCCCAGACTGCGTGACACGAGCTCAGGGTTGAGCAGAAGCGAGTCTCTTCGAGCTGTGATGTCACATGAGGTTTGCCCATCAAACTGTGTCGTGTCTTGGCACACCGTGGGAGGTGACAGCTCAGCTTCACAGGGCACAGCTCTCCTGGGCCAGCTCGGAAACATCCTGATTAAACAGACTTTGGGAAGCTCTGGGTCGGGAGAGGCAGCAGGGATGAAGGGGAAAGAAGGGAAAGCGAGGAAATATTGCCGGAAGAAAGTTTTCGTATCGGGATGAAGGCTCAAATGTTTTCTTTTTAAAATTGTTCTTACTTTTTAAATCAGTTCGCGGCTTCCTAATTCAGCCCGGAGATCTGTCAGGACAGAATTCCTGTTCAAAGGAACCCCGAAGGCAGGGAATGAAAAGGGAGGGAGATAAAACCCCTTGGCAAGTGGGAGGAAAATTGAGGAAGATTCTGTGTAAATCTGGAGTGGTTTTGTGGCGGGAGTAAAGAACAGAAACCTCAGGAGACTTTGGGAATGTCACCCCCTTTTACATCGCTCTGGACATTTTTGTCGCTCTTCTCCTGAACTTTAAAATTTTTCAATGCATCACTTGAATGCAGACGTTGAGGAGAATTTCCTAAATTATCCTGATCATGTACAATTACAGGAAACACACGGATGCAGCTGGAAGTTTGATTTTCTGTTTCTCTGAGCTCTATTCCTCATTAAACCCCGAGCCCAACGTCCTTCCCTTCCATCGTTTTTACTCCAGACTTTACTGATCTTGCCTTTATTGATTTCAGTGGAGTTCAACAGGCATAAAAAATGAAACGAAAAGGAGAATCAATTCCACATTAATTAGCCAGTGTGCATGATTTTCTGCTGCTTAATGACTCCTATAATCATCCACAACTGTACAAAGTGAGCAGCAATCCTGGCCAGGCAGGACTAAAAACCTCTAGCAGTGTATTTACCCATTTTAGAGAGTGTAGAATCTCCTATAAAATCATGTCTAGATTAGAAATGGCGACAGGGAGGTGGTGATTAAAAACAGCCTTATATGAGCTCAGACTATTTCCTTTTTCCCAGTAAAAAGTGCTGTGGAAAAGCCCACCCAGCCCCTTCATGAGCTTTCCCAGTCTGGAAAGGATTTGGAAAGGATTTGCAGGATCAAGCTCTTGGAACCTCATCTAAAGACCCCTGAAACAAGGGAAAGATTATTTACAGCTCATTTTAGTGATTCCTTGGCTTGTTCAGTTATTTTTTTTTTTCCCTTTTCAAACCAAAGCAACACTGGGGAAGGTTTTGCATTGCAGGAAGAACCTCAGTGTTCCTTACGCTGGGACTGTGGGATCTAAAAGCCTTTGGACTTGGATATAAAACAAATCAGTGTCTAATACACCAGAATTATGCCAGTGTGGGGCTTTTGCTTATTTGGGCCCTCTCTCGTGATGCTTATTTTTATTTGAGGACTGGCCGTTATTTTTTAAGACTTGATTCCAAACCTGCTCTTTGTATCACTCTCTTCACATTCCCTTAGTGCTGTAGGACTCATTAACCCTCAGGCTGTGTTCTAGAAACTCCTTTCAAGCCTTTTCCATGCTCCTGTGCTCAGAACTCACCTGGAATGCACAGCTGATGATGCTGTTCCACTGCCATACCCAGCGTTGACAAAATCCCTTCTAAGGGATCCTGATCTGGGATCTTTTTTTGTGGCAGAGAAATGAGAAATGATCTCAAATTCTTCCTTACAGGGCTGTTTAATTTCTGTCTGTAGAATAGGTGTGAGTCAGTATTAAGGGTTTGCCTTTGTAATCTATTCAAGATGTGGATCGACAGACAGAAGTATAGTGAGTGAATGTATTCTGCAACAAAATGTGCGTTCCTGAATGACTATAAACCCATGATCCTTTTAATGTTTAATATTTAGCTCTCCTTTTATCCCAGGAACACACTGAGAGTGATTGCTTGGATACAGATGGTCTGTCTTTGCAGTACTTTTCCCCCCCCTTTAACTGTGCATTTACACATGAATGGGCCATTGGCTCTAAATGGCAATAAGATCACAGTGAATTATATTCACTTTAGTGATACAGTGTCAAATTCAATCTTGTATAGAATTCCACATCCTTTCAAATGGAGGAAACCATTTGAATTTGTACCATCAGCAGCTGAACTTTCCCTTTCGTGGTTTCGCTGGTGGCACAGCTAGCTGGGGCTGGGAAGTTCATACACAAAGTCTGCCAGACATGTCCGAAAAACAGAGTTATTTTGAGAGCCAAATAATAGAAAAGGAATCTTCATTAGCAAAAATTAAAATCGAAGGAAAACTCATGTGCTCAGTTGCAGGAAAAATCAAGGAAGTTGCTGCTCAGAGAATTGATCGTCAGGAAAACTAAGAAACTTGTTGCTGAGAGTATTTACCAGTAACATGAAGGAGTTCCTAGAGAAGGTCTGGGGTGGAGAAAAGCAGTTGTCTCATCTTCACAATTCTCCAGTGACCTGGAGGTCAAGGGCAGGTTTTATCCCCAGGGATATGGAAGAGGATGATCAGGCAGGTTGGGATAAAGCTTTGCATGCCCCAGGAAGCTGCAGTTCAGTCACACAAGCCTCTCTCAGGGGTATGACCCACCACGGGTGGAGGGTGGAAACATCCCCCACCCCCCTCATCCCGTGGGATCTTGGGCCAAGCGTTCTTCCTTACAATTTTAGGAGTTAAAACAAACCCTGATCCAGGTTTTTCTCTGGTATATTGTGACTCCACAGCCCTGGAAAAAAAACCAAACGAACAAACAACAAACCAGAGGAGAAGCAAACTTCACCTGCACATATTTAAGTCTGAGTGTTCCCAACTGTGTTGCTTTAACGCCCATTTCTTTCCAGTGAACTTTCCCCGGGGGGGTTCAGGGATGTGTCACTCCTGTGACTCCTCACTGAGGACAAACAGGAACCTTTGCTGTGACCAGGGATGGTTTGGGAGTGATTTGTGGTGTGGGGGGAGCTGGGCTGGGCACAGTTCCAGCTGCACAGCCCTTGATCCCATCGATTTTTTGGCTTTGCAGCTCCACTGTGGAGTTTGTTTCATTTTCAGACCCATTTTTGGGAATTGATTTAACATTAGACAGCAGAACACCAGCACTGTTTTATCTGGGTTGCTGAGTTTCTAACATTTAGGCTGCAGTGCTCATTAAAAGTGTCCTAAACCCAAATAATTACAATTTTAAGCGCCCTAATTCGAATATCTTTTTAACTTATTCCATTTGTGTATTATCAGCACCCTGAATGCGTGTGTGAAGGAGAAAATAAGGCCTCACTTTTACATTTTAATGGAATTATTGATTTTAGTTGTGTTGCTGTATATCCATTTATCTACTACACCCAAATATTCATAAAGACTTCTTAATTTTAAGCCTCTTCTCTTTGCCTTCATTTACGTGTCATGACAAAGTGATTTATCAGGGAGGAACTTCACCAGTAAAATTAGGCTGTGGTACCACTCAAGTAGCAATTCATCAAAGACAAATTCCACTCAATTTTTTCTCATGTCTGCAACTTCATTATCTGTCAAAATCCATTAGAAGTTTATTTTCTTCTCATAGTTGAGGACTAACCAAGAGATTTGTATATTTTTTACACACTTGAGAACATCTATTCATCATTACCTTCCCAAAATTCCGGACAAGACAGCTAATAATGTCTCCTGCCATTTGTCTTGGCTCATTGTTGAGAAGCATTAATGACATTTCAGTAATTAGAAAAAATATTAGTAATTAACTGTGTTATTATAAGACCGTTAATTTCCTACATGTTAATAACTATTAAAAAAAAAATAGAGATAAAAGGTATTTTTGGGGCCCAGACCTTCAGCATAATGTGCATCAGCTGCACTAAATCCACCAGGTAATGCTTGTGCTGCCTGAGATGACTCAGTGAACGGGGTGGGATGTGAGGACCCTCATTTTTGGGGTAACAGGAGCACAGAGATCGGAAATCTGGGCAAATAAGGACCAGTCAAAGCCTTTTGGGCACCTCTGTATTTTGAGGAGCGGGAAGGTTATAGTTGCGAATCATGAATTCAGGTGAAATTGTGTGCAGTTGGTGCTGTTCAGCATTGTTAAGGGATTGCTAATTTAGCACAATAAGTATTTATGATGATTTTATGTTGCTGGAACCCTAAATGGTGATTTGGTGTCATTGAATTTTCTCCCAGAACTGGTCTGAAGGCATCCCAGGAAAAGCCCCGGATTAGGGACAGAGCTGTCAGGTTGGGCTCATTTAAGCTGCCAGGACAAAAGGTGGGAAAAATCCCAGAGAAACTTTCATTTGTGGGCATCAGCAAGAGAAATATATTAAATATATTAAGAGGAATACCTTAAATAGATCTAAAACCACATCTGTGCTGTGATTCTCCTGAGCACAGCAGTGCTAAAAGAGCTCCTTCAGGATTCAGCCAAGGAGTGCCACAGAGAACAGGAAGAAATCAATTTGAAAGGAAAGCCTTAGATGAATGTAGACAAATTTTATATAAACTGTGACCTCTCGATGCCGCTTTTTAATTGCTCCAAAATCGCTTTCAAAACTTGCATTATGAGGTTGAAACCGTATGTTTTTTCATGGAAGCTGACAATCCACGGACTCATTTCTGTGCCTCATTCCAGAGAATGAAGCAAAGAGTCCACTTATCGCTTCATTTACTGCAGGAGGTTTGATCAGCTGCCTTTCAGTTTTTCAGAGAATCTTGATTTAGTTTTGTTTTTTTTTTTAAGCACGTTGCTCTGTGTTTCTGCTTTGAGACACGATCTGTGTGGTGCTGTGTCTTGTGGTTCCCCAAGTGGGTTGTCTTGGAATCTCAATGAATTTTTCATTTGCCTTTCTCGAAGCCTTTGCAGACAAGACAGAAGT